TGACTGATGCCATATCCGAATCTAAAAAGAAATGTAGACAGTACAGTGTTGATTATTTGAAATTTGGCTTCATTCCATCATTGCCGGACAAACAATCGCCTATGTGCCTTTTATGCAACAAAGTTTTGGGCAATGACGCTATGAAACCATCTAAACTGCAAGATCATCTGAGAAGATGCCACCCTGATAAAACAGAGAAAGATTTGAAATACTTTCAAACACTCAAAGATAAATTTCAGAAGAGACCTACACTGGACAGAATGTTCGCTTCGACGTCACAAAGAAATGATGATGGTTTGCGGGCGTCTTACAATATCTCGTTACTTATAGCAAAATCCGGAAAATCGCATACTATCGGAGAGAAGTTAATTTTGCCAGCCGTTGAAGAGGTTTTACACAAACCTGCAACTGATATCATTAAAAGAATTCCCTTAAGCAACAACACTGTTGAAAGACGTATTGATGAAATGAGTTCTGATATTGAAAGCTTCTTATGTAATTATTTGCAAACGACCCATTTCTCTATACAACTGAACGAGTCAACTTTACCTGATAATGAAGCATTATTATTCGCATATGTTCGTTTTATTATGAATTAAGAAATCTACAAAGAACTGCTTTTCGCAAGAACTTTGATAACCGACACTAAAGGTGAATCAATATTTCGTGTTTTGAAGGATTACTTCATTGAAAAAGCAATTCCTTTATCAAATATAACATCAGTAGCTACAGATGGAGCACCTGCCATGGTTGGACGTTATCGTGGATTTATAAGCTATTTAAAACAAAATGTGTGAGGGGTGTTTGCAATACATTGCGTCATCCATCGACAACATTTAGTTGCTGAAAAGTTGAGTGTTAGATTGCATTAATCACTTCATTTAGTCATTAATGCAGTAAACCGAATCCGAAGCAACGCGTTGAATACGCGGTTATTTGCGCAGTTGTGTGATGAAAATGACGAACACTTTCATCAATTACTCCTTCACACTGAAGTACGCTGGCTGTCGAAAGGCTTATGTTTGACAAGATTTTTTGCACTTTTTGAGACTATTTTAGAATTTCTGGATACTAAAGATAAAATTTTAAAAGAAAATTTAATGAAGAGGAAAACAGACATCGCCTATTTAACAGATTTGTTTACAAAATTTAATATGGTTAATTTGCAATTAAAAGGCGACAGTTTAAATTTGATTAAAACAAAGTCCATCTTATCAGCGTTTCTTGCCAGAGTTAAACTAATGAAGCAAAATATTGGACGGGGCGAATTTTCTCAGTTCCCCAATTTGTCACAGACAACCTGCCAGGAAGACGACGTTTCAACTTACGTTCAACAATTAAATGCCTTCTATTCATATTTTGAATCTAGGTTTGAGGATATTTTGACTATGGTAATACCACCGTGGATAATTTATCCATATGGTGACATAGAAGAAACGAATGTCATAATACAAGAGGAACTGACTGAACCAAGTACAAACGAAGAACTTAAGGTTCAATTTAAAAACGGATATCAGCAATTCTGGCTGCAAAACAACATACCCGTTACTTATTCCGTATTATGGAACATTTCCTTTCCATCGTCATACCTAGTGGAAAGGGGGTTCAGCGCTGTTACCAATCTCCTAACGAAAAAAAGAAACAGACTGGACATCATTAGCCGAGGAGATTTAAGATTAACCCTTACAAAATTGACGCCAAATGTTGATAATTTATTATTAAAGCATCAGGTTCATCCTTCTCACTAAAAATATTGACTTATTGCTTATGTTATTTTATTTATAGTTTATTTTATGTTTATTGGTGTCTGACCAATAAATGCCCGCATTGAGAATAAGTACCCGCATTGATTTTTTAAAGAATCCCCCTTTATAGAAAATATTTTTTTTTAAATTATTCTGAAAATTCAAGGATAGGTACATACTAAATTTCGTTATTGTACTATTTTAAGTCAAAAACTTTTTTTTTATTATGTTCCACTTTTTTTTATTTTATCCCTCTTATGTTTTTTCAATGCGGGCACTTATTCCAAATGCGGGCACTTATTGGTCAGACACCTGTTTATTTAATTTTACGTATATTTTACATAACAGATACAAAATTTCATTTTGAGTAGTTTCAATTTAAATTCAATTAATAAATGTACAAATTAACATATGTTTTTACTTTAAGTTTTTAATACTAAACTTCACTACAGTTAGAAATTTACAGGAAATCAATATCAGGTAAGTAGGGGGTCTACCCAACACGGAAAAACATGGCAAGGGGTCTACGACACAAAAAAGTTTGGGGAACTCTGATCTAAAGGAAGGAATCTTGTGTGGCCTTGAAGAAGATATGTTTTATAGGAAACCAGCTAACGGAGAAAAACTACAAAGTTTTTTTGCTGATCGTCAACACCATACTGAATCGCTGAGAAAGAAAGATATAATACGAGTGAAATTACACAATCAATAAACTATTAAATTTGCAAAAAGAAAATCATTGAAAAGGGGTTTGGCCTAGGAATGGGCACTCTATTATCAATGAAGAGAAATTCAAATTAGTGATAAGTGATAAATAGAAAAAAAGGTTACGTGATTTTGGCACGTGACAACCTCCCCTCTCCTTCGAGTAGGAGGGTATCTACAGTGTAGATAATCGACGATAATTAATAACGCTGAGCTACCAATAACCTATAGGAACAAGAATCAAGCTGATTATTAGAATCGAAGAGAATATCCAAATCCACACAGAAATTCCCACCAAAACAAAAAAAATATTCTAAACCTAAGTAGACGAAATCCGGTAGAACATGCTAAAAGATACTGAAGGCACCAGGATTCGATCAAACAAAGAGAAAAAAAAGACAAGCACTCAACACAACACTGCCTTTAATGAATCAACCTAAAATACAAAAAAAATAAACTGATCGAAACCACACGACACCAAAGGTTAATATCGGTATAAAAGTCGAAATCAGGTAATAGCAAGATCTAGATCAGGACATGAGTTATGACACGTCCAAAATCAAGAATCAACAAAAGCAAGAAAGTATAACGTAAAGGTAAGATAAGATAAACGAACCAATAAAGGTAATCAATACTTAATCACGAAGATAAAAGACAGTCGAAATAGGTAAATTAAAACAAGGAATGAATAAGTCAAACGTAGCAGAAGAGAACAAATTGTATTCCCACTTGTTGATATGTGCAGACATCAAGTTTTCCGCCAAGCTATCTGCCCATACCCAACAAATTGTCCACTCTACAGGACAGTACGTAATATAAGACAAGATAAGATAAAACCTTTCCTTTACTCTATGTTGAATACCGTATCAGTAAAATATAATCTCTATCCTAAATCTATTTTCTTATTTTTCAAATTATAATTATAAAGTTATAATTATAATATTAAATAAAACAAAACATTAATTGACAAATGTTTACGTAAGCATGGGGGGAGGGGGTAAGAGCTTTGCTTACTTTTGCTGACAAGGGGGATGGGAAGGTAAATAATTGTAATAAATCTGCTTACGTAATACTTGAACGGCCTCTAACTTGAATTTTCTTATAATTTTATTTTGATGTCATTAATTATGATTGATAGTTCGACCATCTATTCTTTGTAATTAAACATTTGCTACTTTTTAGTTCGGTCAGCTATAAAAGGGTGTTTTTTTTAGTTTTTTTAAACTATTATTTATTTTTAATTTTTTATTTTGATTTATCAATTAGTTTTTTGTGGCATATCATTATATTGCATTGTCTCAAATTAATTAAACTTCTGGAAATTGGTTAAAATTATGCTCAAAGATTCCGTGATTTTTTTGCTAGTATCTTTTTGGCAACACTATTTTTGACAGAAGACGCGTGAATCGTGTCTTGTGTCATTGTCAAACTTGTTCAGTTTGGTCTATAATTTAACCATGAATCGACTTACGAACGAACAACGCATGCAAATTATTGATTTTTACTATAAAAATTCATGCTCAGTTAAGAGAGTGCATCGAGCACTGCTTCCACGCAGACGTAGAGTGAGGACTGAATAAAATATTGCGGCTGTATCCGCCAGTGTTAGTGATGACCGTGAAATGTCGATTCGCTGCCGTTCGCAGCAATTGGGCCTCTGTTACTCCACTACGTCGAAAATTTTGCGACAGGATCTGGGTGTAAAACCTTATAAGATACAGCTGGTGCAAGAATTGAAGCCACACGACCTCGCACAACGTTCCCAATTTGGTGAATGCGCGCTGGCAAAGTTGTAGGAAGATCCACATTTTTATCGAAAAATTGTATTCAGCGACGAAGCTCATTTCTGGTTGAATGGGTACGCTAACAAGAAAATTGCCGCATCTGGAGTGAAGACCAGCCAGAAGCATTGCAAGAGCTACCAATGCATCCCGAAAAAATCACTGTTTGGTGTGGATTATGGGCTGGCATCATCGGGCCGTACTTCTTCAAAGACGACAATGGCCGAAACGTAACTGTGAATGGCGAGCGCTATCGTGCGATGATAACAAACTTTTTTTTGCCCAAAATGGTAGAGCTGGACTTGGCTGACATGTGGTTTCAACAAGACGGTGCCACATGCCACACCGCACACGAAACAATGGCCCTATTGAGAGGCGAGTTCGGTGAACAGTTTGTCTCGCGTTTGGGGCCCGTCAATTGGCCGCCTAGATCGTGTGATTTAACGCCGTTGGACTATTTCTTGTGGAGCCATGTTAAGGCTAATGTCTCTATTGAAGCATTTATTCGTGAGATACCGGCCGATATATTGGAGAGAGTGTGCTAAAATTGGACCTTGCGCATGGGCCATCTAAAGCGGAGCCGCGGCCAACATTTACATGAAATAATCTTTAAACATTAAATTATATCGACCGTTCTATCGACTCAAATAAAGATTTAATTGTTTTTCCAAATTTTTTGTGTTTTTTTTTTTTAAATCAAATCCTATACCTCTTAAAAAATCACCCGTTATAAGCTCGTTAAAAATAATATTTACTCATTTTGTTTCAGCAACGTGCCAAATGGGCACGATCAACTCGGCAGAACAGCCCTAATGTTGCATCACCGACGGTACCTTACCTCCATCCTAACAGCTTACCAGGGTATACTCCAGGAATGTACGTTCCTCAAAATTTTGAAGCATCAAACCCTAATGCATATTTAAATGGTATGCAACAACAACTGGGTATGATGAATCCGCTACTGGCTCCTGGTAACTATTCCGAACAAAGGATGACATACGATACGTACATGGCCATGTTGAGGCAATTGGCCGCGTTTCAACACTCAGCAAGTCAACAAATGGAAGTTCCATTCCTGAGCAGTGCGCCTAATCCTGTAAATATGAGGAATCGTGCGTCGGAAGTGCGGTTTCCCCAAATAAATCCAATGTCTATGTCACAACAAACAGGAGACAATTTGCCGTTGCCTGTTATTAGACATCCTCAGCTCATGCAAGGGATGCATTTTCCTGGATATATTCCTGGAGTAAACCTGCCAAGAGAAGTGAATTCTGCGGCGACAAATATACGTGTACCCGCAAAACAGACTGGTTCAGCCTCCAAACAAGTCAATCCAGTGCCAGTTGATATGCGGTTAGATGAACTTAGGATAAATGGATCTCGAAGCGCGCTGGACCCAAGGCAGGTGTCACTTTATACACAAGGCATGTCCAGCTCATTGACAGCTGGGACTATGACATACGGCGTGACTTCCCAGAATAATGTGCTACCAGCCAAGGTGGATAATCAGGTTCCTGTAAGATATCAGCCAGAATCAAATCGCGTTCCAGTGTTCAACAATGTTGGACAGTCTAACCCGGCTTCAGAACAAAGAAATCCGGACGTTGTTCCTGTGATAAATATTCCGGAAGTGAGTCGGGATATTCGTGTGCCAGTGAATAGTCGTACCGATGTAGCTTACCCGGCGATGAGTCAACATGCCCCTATGACACAAGCAGTGACACCTATGAACAGCGAAATGCAGCACCTTAGGCCTCGTTTTCCCGAACAGGTCATGTACCGGATGCCTGTTTCTGTCAAGAGTGATATTCCAACGAATGATCAAATACAGGTAGGCAAATCATGCTTTCTTTAGAACCATTTACAGTAATGGACAAAAGTATATTGACAAATATGAATATTTACCTAAATACCTTTAGAAAACGAATTCATACTTCATTGCTCCATAATCAAATGCGTTATTAGTAGAAAAACTAAATTCCTTATTTTTACATTATCTGCAATGAACACAATACAAGTCTTTTATGAGGGACAAAAATATGTGGACAAATTCTTTTCAACATTAGTTTAGTACAGTTTCGTGTCAGGTTTTGGAATAAGTTGAGTGATTTTAAGATCATGCCGCGTGGTTCGAAATTTATTTCGATGTGAAAACTAAGATCATTGAGTTATACAAAGATGGTCAACGTCAAGTCGACATTACCAAAAATTTGAAGCTGAAGCGTGAAGCAGTTTGGGCAATATTGAACAAATATAAACAAAAAGATATCTTGGAAGCCTCTAAGAGAAGTGGTCGGCCTAGAAAACTAAATGCTACATCAGTTAGATTAATAAAAGTAATTTCGTCCAAAGATCCATTTAAAACGCCAAGACAAATAAAAGCAGAAATCGGCACAAAAGGAATTGTCAGTGTTTCTACGAAAACTATAGTAGTAAGAAGCTGCTAATCTCGAGGAAGGAAAGGACCGATTACAGTTTGCACGGTTGCTTCTTGATTGGAGCATATGTGACTGGAAGAGGGTATGTTTCAGTGACGAATCCAAGTTCAATATGTTTGGATCAAATGGTGTTCATTACGTTAGACGTCCTAGTGGACAAAGATTGAACCCCAAGTACACTTTGCCCACTGTCAAACATGGAGGCGCGTCTGTTATGGTTTGGGGCTGCTTTTCGGAGTTTGGGATGGGACCTTTACATAGAATAGATGGTATTATGGATAAGTTTGTATACACAGACATACTAAAGCATGTCATGTTACCCTATATGGAAGACAATATGCCCTCAAGATCAGTCTTCCAGCAAGATAATGACCCGAAGCACACTTCAAATTTCGCAAAGAAATTCTTTCTGGATGAAAAAATACCAGTTCTCATTGAAAATCTATGGGAATACTTAAATAAGCAAATACGAGATAAAAATTATTCAAACAAGGATGAACTTTTTGCCGCTTTAGAGCAAAAGTGGAGACAGATTGACGAATCTTATATCAAGAAACTTCTACAATCTATGCCGAGACGATGCCAGGCGGTGATTCATAATAATGGTTATGCTACAAAATATTAACCCAAACGTTGTTGGTTTTCTATAAACAATGAACTTTGCTTCTTTTTTCTATAATTGTTTTGCTTTGTCTATATATTTTTGCCCTTCATAGTTCCAGTTTTTTTTCAATTAATTTTTTATTGAAGGGAGTCTAATGAATTTATTTACGTATAAGTGAGTATTATGCTATAACGAATTATGTATACGGGTTGGTGTATCAATAAAACAAGTTAAAAAAGAAATACAGCACAATATTTGTCTATATACTTTTGTCCATAATTGTAGATATTCTTACTAAGGGTGAATGTCACCAAAACACTCAAATCTACAAGCCGTTATTTTCCACCAATAGGGTAACAGTCCGTCAAATATAGCGAATGAGCTTTAAGATCCTTTCGACAAACTTTAGCAACTAATAGCTATGAAATGTGGAAAATAAAATATTGTCAAAGTATGAACTTGTCACTGAAACATCACCAGCTTGTTGAATATTAAGAAATTACCTACATACAATTGAGTCATCATTTTACTATTGATTGATTGAATACTACTATTGACTGTTTAACTATAGACCTCTTGCAGATAGTCGTTGAACACCTACTTGATGACAAAGACTTTCTACCAAAAATTTCATAGATATTGCTCTCTTCCAAACATTCATTCTTTTACTTGCCCTTCATCAGTACCATTGTGGCATTGATATTCATACAAAACCCTTCAGGATTTTTGATATCCATTCACCGAAAAAGTTAAATATTTTTTATTGTTCAGGCAGTAAACAAACAACCACTCTATATTTACAGCGATTGAGAAATACTCAAAAATATGTCGTAAAGGTTCCAGCAAACCTAAAACTTGCAAAAAACTAGAATTTGCAATATTTTTTTTTCAGGGAGTACGCATCCTAGGTTATATTATTTGAATTCAAACAACAAACTAGGGATGGGCAACAATAACCGGTTAGTTGAATAATCTATTTTCAAATTCGATTAACCTGCTTAGTCTCAGTGGAGCAAATCCAGTCAAATGTTAAAATATTCTCTCCTGTTCCTTATAGAACCTTCGGCAGTTGAATTTTTTCCGAAATTGTTGTAGAACTTGAAAAAATGCAAATCAAAATTTCAAAATTAACGCCATGACGTCCCAAATGGCTCAGTCGGTACCCCACATTGGTATTACTTATCTTGAAAAGTCACATGCCAATGTTTTTGACATTATATTGGTTTTTTGTGACATTATGTAGGTTTTTCTACCAGATGTTAACTTAGCACTATGTGATGTAAAATGTGCTTCAGAGATGGCATTACTTGAGGTAACGGCAATGCATAGGCATAGTGAGGATTTGTGTGTTAATAACATGTGTTGACAATAATTCCATTGGATTCTTGTTTCAAATACACTTACTTAAGGTTCAAAGCTAGAAATTAATTGCTTTCTTTTCCATTTTGGAAATTACATAATGCAAATTTGCTGAATTTCAAAAATGAGAAAGATAATAGATAATTATATCCACTATACACTGTCGAATTGCTAACAGTAATAACACGTAACGTGATTTCCTGTAATTCGCCTCAAAGTTTTTGAAAACACAAAAAAAGACGTAAAAAATCGTAATTGATAGCTTTGAACATAACCTGTCTTCCGAAAGGCAGCATATTCAGTAATGATTTTCTCACACACCAAATATCACTGATTTTATACACATGCAGACCAATACACACAATCACCCAGGTGCGATCTTGCTATTCAACCAAATAACTAACTTTCTTCTCAGAGACTCAGCGATGAAAACTATAGACCTCTCGACTTCACAAAACATGTGCAACCAACAATGCGTGTATACGTGTGGTTGAGCCATTCCTCCATAGATGGACGTTCACAATGATCCTAGTTAGCAAACGTAGAATGACTGTTTGCACCCTAAAAGCTACCTAATGTGCAAGATGACATCATAGGTTTTTTACGTTTTATAGGTCTTTTACATAATACCCGCGCCGGGCTATAAATAAATCTTGACAGGTGTCATTCTTGTCAACTAGGTTGCGGTGTTGACCGGATATTTTCGCTACCTTTACTATTTTACATTTTGCAAAAATCTTATGGAAAATAGAAGCTTGACGAATATGAATGGATATACATAGAATTTGAGGCGTAGTGTTGCTTGCAAAGTAGTTAAGGTTGTCATCAACAATTATTCACATTGTAAATGCAATTATAAATAAAACTAAACTAAAATTTGTATTTTTATAAATGGTTATCACTTTTTATATGCCTTATATATCATGTCCACAATATACAGGGTTATCCAAATTAAGTGTCCACCATTAGTAACTTTGTTATTAGTGAAAATACAAAGTTGTTTGAATTAGCAAACTAGTAGCATTTTTAACGCTGGTAAAAATGAGAAATAAAAAAAAACAATTGAGAGTCGTTATTTTGATTTTTTTCAGTAAAATAACATTTTTTAAATGGAAACCCCTGTATATTATATTTTTTTCTGTTAAAGCATCAAATTTTAAACAAAAAAGCTTACAATAAGTTTTCTCCTAGGTTACAAATTGTTGAAGTTATGGCCTCCAATCTGAAACAATTAAATTGTATCGACAAACTTTATTTTCAACATCAACTTATAATCTTACAAAATACAATAACAATTTTTTTTAAAGAAGATGCTCGAAAACACCACCTTGTTCTTCAATACATTTTTGGGCACGTTTTTCAACTGCTCGAACTGTCTTAAGTATGGTCCTACCATCTATCTGGGTTATCTTTTCCCTAACTGCAGTCTTTAACGCGTCAAGGTTATCGTACCTTCGCTTGTAAATTTGGTTCTTTAAGTAACCCCACAAGAAGTAATCAAGTGGGTTTAGATCTGGTTCCTATCCACTGATCATTAAAAGTAGTACTTAGAAAATGATAAGTACCTCTGGAGTTGTGGGCAGGTGCGCCATCTTGCTGAAAATGCAGATGATGTCTACTTATAAGATCCAATTCGTCTAAGAAATTAGTCAGAATTTCTGACATAAATTCCACATATCTTTCACCAGTTAGGGTTCCCTCATAAAAGAACGGGTCAACAATTTTTGAACCAATTATACCGCACCAAACGTTGAAACTGAAACGGACTTGTGGGCCTCTTGGATGTACTAACAAAAGATTTTCTCTTGACCAATAATGGTGGTTTTTTCTATTAAACATTCCAGAATTTGAAAAATTTGATTCATCTGTCCATAAAAGGTAACGAAAGTTATTTACATTTTGGCGACAGAAGCTAAGATACCAATGGCAAAAAACAAGTCTTCTCTCTGGATCCCCTGCCAAAAGCGTTTGAACTGGTCGGTACTTATACGGAATAAATTTGTATTTTTTTAAAATCCTTTGAACAGTACCATAACTGAAATTAGAGTCCTTGAGAATATCTGCTATTGAATTCTCACGATAAGCTTCAAAATATCCAATAACTGCAATATCCGTGGCCTCGCTTATTATGAATTCTTTTTTTGCCCTTGTTTTAGCAAAAACATTTTCGTTGCCCCTAAATTTTCGATAAAGTCTCAGAAAATATCGTTCATACGGTTGAATGCGAGCGGGATATAATTCACTGTAGTATTCTCTTGCTCTCAAGGAGGATTTTCTGCACACTAAATAGCATTCTAACATATCACATTTTTCTTTAAATTAATGACACAATAAAGCTTATAAACAAGTATTTACACTAATGTTTGACATTATTTGATTTTATCATTGTTTTCCAAAGCCTTCTGGTTGCGAGTATGTCCAGTTTAACAATTTGTCGCTTATCTTAATGCTGTCAAATCGCGAACGCCATGTTGTTTTCATAGCCGTCTTAATATTATAATACTGCAAATAATTAAAAATATTTATCGTTATTTTGACTTTATTTTTGACTTTAGCGGAAAAGTCATTATGAACTTTTTTGTTTAAAATTAGATGCTTTAACAGAAAAAAATATAATATACAGGGGTTTCCATTTAAAAAAATGTTATTTTACTGAAAAAAATCAAAATAACGACTCTCAATTGTTTTTTTTATTTCTCATTTTTACCAGCGTTAAAAATGCTACTAGTTTGCTAATTCAAACAACTTTGTATTTTCACTAATAACAAAGTTACTAATGGTGGACACTTAATTTGGATAACCCTGTATACATAAACGCAAAACAGAATAAAAATTCATACTACACGTTTCAGATGTTCTTTGCATGTTAAAACTTGGACTAGAACTGGATTTTTCGGTATTTTATCATTATCATTATCATTATCATTATTATCATTATCATTATCATTATTATCATTATCATTATTATCATTATCATCATTATCATTATCATTATCATTATCATTTTCATTTTCATTATCATTTTCATTATCATTTTCATTATCATTTTCATTATCATTTTCATTATCATTTTCATTATCATTTTCATTATCATTTTCATTTTCATTATCATTTTCATTATCATTTTCATTATCATTTTCATTATCATTTTCATTATCATTATCATTATCGTTATCGTTATCGTTATCGTTATCGTTATCATTATCATTATCATTATCATTTATCATTAATCATAAATTGATGCACCACTTGGAATACGTTTTATATCTTTTTTTATTACCATTGGTGGATTGATTAGATCTTCCGTCATTGATAAGAAATAGCAAAATACATGAAGGTTATCCTATTTTCTCTGTACAAAAGCATCATGTTGGAATCAAAAAGTGCTCTTCGCCTTTTCACGATTTTATAAAGGCTTCAGTAGAAATCACTGATATTCAGAGAGCTTTAAAAGCTTTTTTGTAAAAACCAAGGTTTGGCAATGCCGATGTATGGCATATCATACATTTTCGAGATTAGAATAAAAAACTCTATTCACCTGTGCAAAAATCCAATATGCGTCGTTGAGAAAAATAAAGTAGATGGTGGAGGGTAAGAGACGAAACGTTATATTGAAATTCTAATTTTGCCATTTTGTAGAGGAGAAAAAGTAACAATGTTAATCTGCAACTTATTTTAAAATCCCACTACAAATAAATTCGGTGGAAAATCAAAACGATTTTGGGAAAATTTAGTTTTTTCCGTCTCTCGGATGTCCTTTAAATTTCGAAACTCTCTAAGCGGCAGTTTGTTAGTTACCTGAATAGACAACTTTGCCCCTATTAAGTGACAAATTTGATGAATATAATTAAATTGCTTTACTTGAAGTAGGCAGGTGATTATTATTCAATGTACTGAATGGCTGATGTAGAGAGGGGTATCCCTCCCCTAAGCTCCCAAGCTTTTTTGATGAAAAAAATCAAGTATCCACCATAAATAAACAGACGATTCTTTCGGGGTGTTGAGCGGTGGTCGGCTTGGATTTGGTCCAGAGCTTTCGGCTACATCTGCGGTAGCCATATTCAGTGGCGCTGTCGGTGAGAGCGAAGTGCTCTTCTTGGCGGGTCGACTGAAACTGATCGGTTAACACACACCCTCCTACCCTGTGCGGTCCCTCCACCACCCCTGTTCCAGGCAACCTCAAACCCTTGAGGAGTAGGGGGAAGAGCAATCTGCTCCTTTCTCCTCTCCCGTCCGAAGGCCTGGCGTGGCGCTGCGTGGTTCAGGCCGCTGCGCATTCCCCGAGTGTGTGCTGCCGAGCGAGCTGCCTTCTCCCCAGTTTTGCCCCTTTTTCCCGAAATTGACTCGATCGCGCACGCGTCGCGGAAGCACGTGGTCCACGTTTCATCCAACTGTCGGTTCTCGACTTTTATGGACGGCCTCTTTCTTGGGGCTGCGCTGGGGGCTTTGACCTGAGCCCCTCGTTAAGGTTGGTGAGCCTTCGCTCTTTCCTCGTCGACTGGAGTCAGTCAGTCATTTGCTGCTTGTCTTCGTCTCCTGAGGTTAGCCTCGAGTCCGTGCTTGACTCTGGCCACCTCAATCGACAGGCTTCTTTTTGTCCACCCGTTGTACACGGGCTGTTCTTTCCCCTCTTGGGTGTACAACTATTGTCGGTCTTCTCCCCTTTTCTTTGGCTTCATCAGCTGCTATGGCCAAATTTCTTCTTGGTGCAGCTGGCTTTTCGGTCTTTTCTGACGCCTTATTGTTCTTGGGTCGTAATCCAAGGCGTCTTTAGTCAGCACATTTCGATGTCTTTCGATCTTTTCAAAGAACTTTTGGGCCCTTTCTCTCATCTGGATTACGACCGGTACCTGTCGTAGTTCGTCATATACCACTCTGTTAGGTACATACCACGGTGCGTCCACCGCCTCACGGAGTGCTATGTTTTGTTGAGCTTGGAGCCTCTTCTTCATCGTTTTGGCAACGTAGCCCCAAGCTACTGCTGCGTAAGTCATGATTTGAAGCAGCACCATCTGAATCATGATGGTCTTATTCTTTAAGGACACTTTGCTTCTTCCGCCTATTAAAGGTCTTAGTTTGGAGCGTGCCATCTTCACTTTCTGCACCTGGCCCTCGACATGGTTCTTCCAAGTGAGTTTTTGGTCCATCTTGACTCCAAGGTATGTGCTGGAGTCCTTCCAGTCGACCTCAACTTCTTCGTCTCTTCTCCAGCCTCTCTCCATTTTGGTGGTCGTCATCTTTATTTTGGTTTGAGGTAATCTTCGATTTCTTCGGAACAGTACCGTTTCGGTCTTCTCAGGGTTGAGACGGATCTTCCACCATTCCTCTAGGTTGGTAGTCGCTCGTTGCAGATATTCCGTAACCATGCGGCGTCTCGTACTTTCTGCCGCATATGCTGTATCGTCCGCATACACATACAGTGGCGTTTGTGGAGTCTCCGGGATGTCTGAACGGTAGATTGCATACAGCAGGGGTGATAGAACCGCTCCCTGCGGTACTCCTGCCTCCACAGTTCTCGTTGTCGAAGCTGCTTTACCGATCCTAATTCGGAATTTACGGTGCTTCAAATAGGACTTCACCAGTTGGATCATCCCCGTTGAGTATCCGAGGTCTACCGTCTTGTAGATCAGTCCGTCATGCCAAACATTGTATTTGTAGATTTCAATTGCTTCTCTGTACATTCGGGCTGAGTAGTGGGTGGATGTTGATAGGACTTCAGTTTGGTCGAACGGAACATTGTGGCCGTCTTGGAGTGCGTGTTCGGCCACCGCTGATTTATCAGTTTGTCCCAGTCGACAGTTTCTTTCATGCTCCTTGATGCGTATTTGGAAGCTACGTTTAGTGGTGCCTACGTATACTTTACCACAGGAACACGGTATTCTGTATACGCCGGCACCGCTCAGGGGGACCCTAGTGTCCTTTACTGAAGTTAGGAGTTGCTGGATTTTATTTATCGGCTTGTAGATGGTCTTCACATTGTGCTTCTGCAGCAACCTTCCTATTCTATCCGTGATGCCTTTAATGTGTGGTAGGTAGGAGACTCCCGTAGGTGGTTCCTTGTCTCCTGCCTTGTCGTGAAACCTGTTCTATTTGTTCTCTGTGATAGCCGTTTGCTTATAAAACCATGTTAACATGTTCCCCCTACAGGTATTGAGGTTCACAAATTCGATGTGCCCTGTCTATCGTATTTTTAATGACACCTCTGGACCAAATCCAACACGACCATGGCTCAACAGCCCGAAAAACCTAGATTACATGTTACAAGGGCATTTGCTCAAGTGATTAAGCATGCAACCACAGTCCAGTCTACTCTACAATTTAATCGCCGACACCCTAGCCCCCCCCCTCAACATCTTCCTGAGCATGAAACCTGTGACCGCCACTAAATATCCCTAAACTGATGCCTAAGGGCCGTATCGTCAGTCGTTCCTACAATATTGTAGGACGCATTTATGGCCTGACAATAGGGGAAAGCTGACACGGAACAGTAGAAATCTAGAAATATCCCAGCCAATCTGAAGGAGAGGAAAGACTATGAAAATCAAGCAGGCCATAAAGGCGTCGTACAATTACGACGATACGGCCCTAAGTCTGTCCTTGATTTATCAAGCATCACAAACCTTTATTCACACATATTCTGTTTCTATAGCATCGTGATAACGCAGGTGGTACCATTAGAAGAGATATACGGATACCTGCAAAGAATAATGCTGCTACGAGTACCATTTTCGCGAAAAGTTCTAATGCTGGAACGACGAACAAACCGTGCACGGTTACCAGTACTACAATGAGAGAATCGAGGAACGAATTGCCTAATGATTCACAGGGGACCACGGAAGCTGAAAATTTTGAAAAGGTATGATGCAAGCGTCTCGCAGAATGTTGTTAGCGGTTCTGCAAGAAAATATAGATTTAGATTCGAGAAACAAAAGCACTCATTTAACTAGAACAAGAACTAGCCATTATACAGGGTGACGGGAAAATAGGTGCGGAGCCGGTGGGGGGAAGATAGTACAAGCCAATCTGAGTCGATTTTACTATAGGAACTACTGTCCGAAAATTAGCCGTTTTCGAATTATACTAATTTTTAAGATTTTATAAAATTAACGTCCTTTATACGTTAACCAAGTCATAAAACTTGAAAATTGTGTGTTTCATTTGATTATTTTTTTTACAATAAAAATATTCTAAAATACGAACTCTGATAATCAAATATACATTATTGACGTTATCTCATGCAGTAAGCTTCAAAATATACTAAGTGACATATAAATCCGAACACCCAGTTTAAATGGTTTTATTTTAATAAAAGTTGGTGAATGTATTTATATTACTGTAAATAACAAGTGAAAAAATTTTCAGCCTTATCAGTTGGACATTCCGGTTTCTATACTGCTTTTTTTTAATTCACTAACGCTCTAAAAATGAATATTTCAGCCGCAGTAAAGAATCAACGTTGGCGGATTTTGGTTCTTGACATCCTTTACGATCGGTTACGATGCCTAGAGTACGGAGACCTGTACGATTTCGTCAACTTAGTGAGTTTGATAGGGGCCGTATAGTGGGACTTCGGGAAGCTGAACTTTCTTTTCGGGCAATTGCAGTTAGAGTGCAAAGAAGTGTAGACACTGTGGTTAGGTGTTGTCAGGCATGGCTTCGAGAAGGCCGTACGCAAAGAGCAAGGGGCACTGGACGCCGCCGTAGAACAACAGACCGTGAAGATCGCCGCCTAAGATTATTGGCCTTAAGCCTTAAGGGACCGTTTCTCCACTACCAGGTCCATTGCAAATCAATGGTTTGCAGAACACGGAAGACCTATTGGCATGCGAAGTGTTTACCGACGAATGAGAAGTTTTGGCTTGTTTTCATACCGGCCACACTGGGTCCTCCCTTTAACTCGAGAACACCGACGTAATCGCCTTGAGTGGTGCAGACAACGGTCACTCTGGGATCAGGAATGGAACAGTATTGTCTTTAGTGACGAGTTTCGATTTTGCTTAGGCATGCACGATGGTCGTGCCAGGGTTAGAAGGCGACGTGGTGAAAGGAGGAATCCACAGTTTTTTGTTGAAAGACATATTCATCACACTGTTGGAGTTATGCTTTGGGGTGCTATAGCTTATGGTTCCAGGTCACCTTTAATCTTCATCAGAGGTAAAATGAACGCGCAGCGTTATATCCACGAAGTTCTAGAACCCCATCTTTTACCCTATCTTGACACCCTGGCAGATCCAACTTTCCAACAAGATAATGCCCGACCACATGTTGCAAGAGTCACAATAGACTTCTTTCAACATAATGATGTCACATTGTTACCATGACCACCAAGATCTTCCGACTTATCCCCAATTGAGCACGTGTGGGATATGATGGGTAGGAGATTGCTCAATTTGCAACGTCCTCCTCAGACTCTAGAAGCACTTCGAGAGGAGTTGGTGGTTGCCTGGAATGAGATACCACAGGAGGACATTGACCATCTGATCACAAGCATGCCTAGGCGCGTTGGAGAATGCGTAGCACATCAGGGTGCATCCACACATTATTAAAGGTCAACGGGCTTTAAAGCAGTGCAATCATTTTGAAATTTTTATCATTTACTTATTATGCTTCATTAAGTACTTATACAAAATTTTATTAAAATAAAACCATTTAAACTGGGTGTTCGGATTTATATGTCACTTAGTATAGTTCGAATAGTTCGAAAATCTTGGTTCATCTCAAAAGCTTCAGTTTACTAGAAACAGTCGCATAAAAATTTTTCGTACAAAATAATTAGAAAATCTCTACGTTTCATTACCTTTCAAATGAGGCTTAAAAATCACAAATCGATTGAGAATTGGCAAAAATATGACTATTATAAGAGGAGTAAAGAAAAAGCAATAAAAATACTACACTTACCAAATCATACCTTAATACAGGATAATTTGTTTGAAACTACATTTTTTTATTTTTCTCATACATTTTCAATATGGCGCTCTCTATTTCTAATGCACACACGTGCTCTTTTTATGACAGCTGATTTTATTACCGCCGAATTCCTATGAGAGGCTTGAATTTCTTGTACTGCATGTATTATTCTGTTTCTGAGGTCTTCTATTGTGGGTACAGAATTTCGAAATTCAAAATACTTCCGAGGAGAAACGGAAAAAACTAAATTTTCCTAAAATTGTTTTAATTTTTTCCTGACTTTATTTGTAGGAGGACTTCAAAATAAATTGTACATTACCATTTCCACTTTCTCTCGCCTACAAGATGGCATAATTGGAATTTCAACTTTGTCTCTTGTCCTCCAGCATCAACTTTTTTTTCAGGACGGCATATTGGATTTTTGCGCATATGAATAGAGTTTTTAATAATAATAATAATAATAATAATAATAATAATAATAAATGGGCTTTATTTCGTACCTAAGTAAAAGTACAAAAAAGGGGAAGTGTCGCTAAGATTACCGTTTTTCAACTTAACCTTAACCTTAACAAAAAAATACATATAATAAAACATTCCACCAACAAAAATGTATCCATAATTCTCAATAATTACTTAATAATTAACAACACAAAAAAAACAGAACAATTACAAGAATAGTCCATATTTCTAGCATTTTGTATTCATCATCAGACCTCGACTTGTAGTTTTAGTTTAAGCCTCTTTTTAAAATTAAATAATGTATAGTTTTGGAATGTAATAAGCAGATCATTATATAATTTAATAGCATCGTAGCTGAATGATTTTTTGTAGACAGCCTTAGAATGTAAGGGTATCACTAACATATTCCAATTCCTTGTATTCAGTTGATTTATGTCACTACATCGTGTTAACTTATTATGCAAATATTGTGGTTGTTTGGTAGCTAAGACCTTATGTGTGAGTGCCAATAAGTGAAGCTTTTGAATGCCTTTAATCTGCAGAATACCAAGTTCCTTAAATTTATAAGAAATATGATCAAACTTTCGTATTCCGCAAGAAAATCTGACGCACGAATTCTGAATACGCTGTAATTTGCTTTGTTCACTATATGATAGAGCTGCGCCATATATACTGTCACAATAACTGTTATTTGATATAATTAATGTTTCACACAGTTTCAGCTTTACTTAAGTAGATATTATTTGCCTATGTGAATAAAACTGTTTCAAAATGCAGTATGATGCACTGCATAACGAATTTACGTGTTTTTTGTATTTTAGTTCTGTGTCAATCCAGAGTCCCAGGTTTTTACACTCATTCATTATAGGAAGCCGGCAATCATAGATTTTCCGTTTCGATCAATTTTTTTTTGTTTTTTGAGCCGAAAACCATAACTGAAGATTTAGATTTAGGTTATGCGAGCACGAGATGGCTACTAGCCTTGTTAAGTCTTCGTTGAGCAATGCTTCTGCTATTTTAAAATCTTTGTGTTGAAAACTTAAATAAATTTGAGTATCATCAGCATAGTGATGGATTGTGCGATTATGGACATATTGATGAAAATCCGATATATATAGAGAGAAAAGTAAAGGTCCCAGTATGGAACCTTGAGGAACACCAAAATATAGCAGTTCACTGTGACATTTTCGAAGCTGTTAAGACCTTTTGATTTCTATTTGACAAATAGCAGCTTATCAAACTGACTGCAGCATCAGTAAAACCATAGTAAGACAGCTTAAGTAGCAGAATTTCAGGGTCTATCATATCGAATGCTTTTGTGTAATCCAGCAGAACTGAACAAGTGATATTTCCTTGATCAAGGCCTCTTATAACATCATCAGTGACATTGGCTAGAGCAGTTGTTGTACTATGGTTTTCCCTGAATCCAGACTGCATTGATGGAACTATTTCATTACTGAAAATATACTGAGACATTTGTATCTTCATTTCCCGTTCCAAAAGCTTCGAAAATGCGGGAAGTAAGCTGACTGGTCTAAGTTGCGTTACAGACGTGGGAATCGCTACATCAGGGAAACAGGATACTCATATTGCGTGACTGATTATAAATGTAATATGGTCTAAGAGCAAAGTGAAAATTTATTTTATCATAATGAGTGAGATTCCATCAGCCCCTACAGCATTAGTTTTAATAAATGAGAAACTCTTCGCAACAAATTCTTTGGCAACCTTTTGGAAACAGAATGACTTGGGAAACTTATTGTTTTGATATTTGTTCAGTAGTTAATTGCTTTTGTGTCTTGGTTATGATCGAATAATTTGAGAAATGTGAATTTATTTCATCTGCGTCATTGAAGCGATCTGAGAGGACTTAATTATATTAAGTTTCCTAAGAGAACTCCATATTGCTTTACTGTTCCTCCCAGATAGGATGTATTCCATATAAGCCTTTTTCTCTCCCCGAAGAGCAGCAGCAGCAGCAGCGTAATTACGGAGTTCTTTATAATAGTTCCAGTGTGCAGTTGACTTACTTCTTTTAAACCTTAGATATGCTTTATCTCTAACTTTATTGATCATTTTAATATTGTATGTTAGCCAAGGAGCTGGTGGCTTAGTAACTCTAAGTGTTCTCATACTTGCACAATTATCAAATAAATTTAGTATGTTGCTATTTAAAAAACTTACCATGTCATTAACGCCGTTTAATTGAAAAATATCATCCCAATGAGTCGAATGAAATAAATCATTCATTAAAGTTACGAAAGTCCCTGAACGTGTAAAACTTCTGCGTCCGGTTGCTTAACGTTTTATGGAGGTGACAGACAACAGCTGAATGATCAGATAACTCATGAACTGGTACAGCATTGCAGTTTCTTACATTTTCTCCATCTGAGCAGATAACAACATCTATCAATGTTTGTGAGTGGCTTGTAACTCTCGTGGGAGCATCTACTAACTATGATTCTATCTATAACTTGCCGTGCATTGACATCCAGAGCGGATCCATCATTTGTGTCATTGGTTCTTGGTTTTAATGTTATGTTTATGTTGCCAGTTGTTGTTGTTCATGACCTCTAATGTGTTTAATTTTTCCAATTAAATTAATAATAATTTTGCAAGTTAGACAATAGAACGGTTTTTATTTTTTTACTCAAAAATGGCGCATCGAAGGAAAACAATTCAAGAGAGATCGTTTGTTTTAAATTGAACGGGGAATACAAAAATAATTTTTATTTGACAAAAAACTGTTGCCGTACCATTTTTTTCTTAAAAAATATGAATATGACTCTTTATCAACTTTCACTACGTACTAAATATCAGTGAAATATCTGAAGCGGTTCTGTAAATATTAATTAATTTCCATGTTTTTCCTAAAACTTCACTTTTTGCAAGAAAACATTTTTGGACCATAGTTTATAAAGCAAACTAACATTAATTTTTCATTTAGATTCACGCACTCAAATATTTGCATATCATTAAGAAACACCCTGTATGATGAGTACTGAGAAAGGGGCCTCAGGCCTAGGCCGGCCAAGACTGCAAATACGCCACTGTGCAAAGTACGAGCACCTTCCCACTTCAGTTGGCCCACTTCAAGTTTTGTACCAAAATATGCCTTTATAAACTAAACATGACGAAACTATTTACTTCTAAAACAATTTATTTTCTCAAAAACATTTTAGATACACTAGTCGTAAAAAATACATATTTGAAATCACTTAGACCTATAACTAATAGAACTTCTGAACAAATAAACAATGTGCGAATAAATGCGCGAAGTTAACAAAGCAACAATTGTAAGATTACCATTGGGTAACATCACCTTTATTTTTTATTACGGCTGAAATTCTTTGGGGCATAGTGTTAACCAAGTTTTGGCAAAAATTTGGTGTAAAACAATCCCATATTTCTTGAAGCTTTTGTCTCAGTTCGGTGATTGTACGAACAGGATGTTGTCGTAGAACCTTTTTCATCTCGTGCCACAAAGTTTCAATAGGTGACAGATCTGGACTGCTAGAAACCCATTTCAAAAGTGGTACAATATTTTCTTCCATCCATTTTATAGCCTTTTTTGAGGTATGGCACGCTGCACCATCTTGCTGAAACACAAAATCTTGGCCGGATGTCAAACTTTCTTCCATCATTGGTAAAAGCGATTCTTCTAAAATTGCCAAATATTTATTTGTATCCACATTTCCATCAATAAAATGGAAGTTTTCCTACTCCTTTTGATGACATACTGCCCCAGACCATAATGGATGCTGGAAATTTCACTTTTCTCTTCAGACAGTCCACATGGAATGCTTCATTTTTTGCGAATAACTCTACTGCGACTGTCACCAACACAAACTTCGAATCGGGCCTCATCACTCCATTGTATTGCACACCATTGTTGAGGTATCCATTGTCTATGTTCTTTAGCCCATCTAAGCCGATTTTTCTTTTGCAGTGGAGTTAATAGTGGCTTTTCTTTGGCCTATAAACAAGTTGTGCAACTTTAGGGTTTTTACTTCACTTTTTTTATAAGAAAACGTACCTTGCAAGTGCTAAATCCTAGTTTGTGGGCCTCTCTATGAGTTGTGGACCTCGAAATTCTCCTTCCAACAGCGTCACTCCACAGAGCACTTAATTATAATTGACACGCCTGTTTTTCACGATTATTCTTCTTAATGCTCTTCGGTCGGCATTTGTGATATTACTTTTTTTCACATATCGTGGCTTAATATTAACTGAACCAGTTACGTTATATCTTCTAATAATATTTCTCACACTGTACCGTGATAAGTCTAACAAAGTTGCAATTTCTGAGTTTGATTTCCCAGAACTAAAAAATTTAATTACCAGTAACCGAATTTTCTCACTAATAACCTTTCATCTACCCATTTTGAAAACCTTAGCTACCCAAAACTATTTTAAACGTATTCTGACAGCTGTGATTAATAAAAACAATTGTCATGGCTTTTATTTTTCACAGCCACCTATGCGTTATAGACTTATTTTGCATTGAAATGAAAATAGGTTGATATGCTGTAATTGCAACATGTGTTATTTTTATGCTGCAAATTTGATTAGGGAGTGATAAAGTTGGTGTTTTCTACTATATATTATCAAAATATTCATTGTTAACATTTTAAACCTGCTACATTTTTATTATTTGTGTTCGATAAGAAAAAAACTAAGATTTCAATAGTTGGGCCAACTGAAGTGGGAGTTATGCCTTTTTGTTCGGTGGCATACACTGTGCTAAGCATTTTAGTACTTATTATACCAGAAACATATCTATCTTAATAGGGAGCTGAATCTTACCTTTTTCTGTTTATTTACAGGTAATTCGAACTCATGTGATAGTAGACCCGTTAAAAACCAAAAACATAAGTGATCTCCATAATAGAACGCCTCACACATCGTCCACAAAAGATCTCTCTCAGCAGTTGAACGGAAGCTCGCGGTTAACCGCGGCTAAAGACCGAAATCAAGATGATCGACTGATTGATCATAATGACATGATATCTCGAAATAATGAAGCGCCGACCGTGTCTAATAATATGACAGAACAAACAGGCGAAGTTGCAGTAAGACAGAACGAGTGTAAAGAGTGGGAAAATTCGGAGACTGAATTGATACTGTTAAAAGGCGTTTTGAAAGATCAGTTCAAAGATTCTTATCCAGAAATACTCAGGAGGGTGACGATGGCTAAAGAGGTTCTCGAGAAGAGAAGACATCGCAACACAGGTGAGATGCACATGAAACATGTTTATGCTCATACTAAACTGAGAAAAATAATTAATTGAACCAATTAAAATTTTGATCAAGCCAAATAAAAAACTTAAATCACTATGTGACAGCTAACAAGTTTAATTGCTTGTTTGTTTGTTTAAGATTTATTTAGCATGATTGCTACAATTACATTCTTCTAAAGAACGAAACAATGACATAACATACAGACATTAAAAAAACAAAATTTGCATCTCTAGGAATTTTCATTGTCCATGAAATATCCCTTTAATTTTCTTTTGAGTATCTTTAAATTACAAGTAGACTTTATATTATTATTTAGTTTATTAAATTCAAGTAATCCTTTCTGAAATATTGATTTGCTAGTTATATTACTATTGCAATTTTGTAAATGAAAATCTATATTTTCTCTTGTATAATAATTGTGGTAATGATTATTCAATTCTATGTAGTGTTTGTTCCAAATGTTCTGGCAAAAGATGATCTTTTTATTTTAAATATAAAGATAAGAACCAAATATAATATGAATTTTTTTATATTCAAACACTGCAATTCCTGTAACATAGATTTTATTTTGGTGTACTTATTTTTATTCAATAGTATTCCCATAGCTTTATTTTGCAAGACATGTAATTTTGAGAATACAGCTTCATTGGCAGTGAACAAGACAGTTGAACAATATAGTCAATGCGGTAGAATAATTGTATTACAAATTATTCTCTTGGAATAGGTACCAAGACTATGAGAAGCCCTATAAAAGTAATTTGCTTTTTTGGCAATTTTTGAAGTAATGTATTCATAGTGATCCTCAAACTTTAGTTTACTATCAATATATATACTAAATATTTAATTGATTCAACATTTTCAATTATTTCTCTGTTTATCCTAACTGTGATAGTATTTGCATTTAGTTATTTCCCTATTAGCACACATTTTTTTTAGAAGTATTCAATTTTAGTTTATTTATATTTAACCAATTTACGATTTTTGCCAAGTCAGAATTTAGCATTTTTAAAGCAGTGTCTATATTTTCATCTGATATATCTGTATATTAATGTATCATCTGCAAATATCTGAAGTTTACAATAATCTAAAATATTACAAATGTCACTAATGTATAAAATAAATAGTAGTGGACCTAGTTTACTACCTTGTGGTATACCAACAGAAATATTTTTTGAACTTGATAATGTAGATCCAATTTTGGTTTTTTGACTTCTGTCAATTAAGTAGTTTTGTAGAATTTTGAATACAGATCCATTAAATCCGTAGTGATGCAATTTTGTAAGTAATTTATCGCTGTCAATAGTCAAAAACGCCCTTTTGAAGTCCAAAAACACTGTTACTGTATATTTCCGACTGTCCATATATCTCCTCCAGTCCTCTAAAACCATTTTTGTTGCCGTTTCAGTTTTATGTTTCTTCCTGAATCCAGCTTGAAATTTGGTTAAAATGTTATTTCTATCAATAAATTCATTTGTTCGTAAATAATTTCTTCAAAAACATCTGGCAGAAAAAGTATAGGCCGCGTATTGGTGAATTCTTAACTTTAGAAACAGGAGTTATGGTAGAACACTTCAGCTTCGTTGGAAATTCGACATATTTTAAACAGTAATTTATCAGGTTTAATATTCTTGCTCCAATAATATCAAAACATTCATTAAGTACACTTTTAGACAAAATCTCCCTCTTGTTTTGAATTGATTTAATTTCTGATATATATTCTTGATTGGTCTATAATTGATTTTACAATGGCGTTGACACATTCTATGAAATAGGTATTCATTCGATCTGCTATTATTTCTTCATTTCTTATTACCCCATCGTCGAATTTCATTTTAGATAATGTATTTTTTCTAATAGAAGAAACAATGTTTTTCAACGTTTTCCACATACATGTGTTTGCTTTTATTTTTACTCTGATCAATTTTGGCATTGTAATATTTTTTCTTTTCATCTCGTAGAACTGCCACAAATTGGTTTCTTGATCTTGTATACTCTAGCCAATCATTAATTAAATAGTTCAGCTTCGATTCCGAAAACAGTTTACTTGAATCTTTGAAACTAGTTTAATTAAATCAAAATCAATTAAATTTATTAAACCGTTTTACTTAGATGAAGTATATCAACTAAAAATTGATGAACTATTGAAGTGAGTTTACCTGCTCGAAGTAAAAAATTCAATTATACCTATTAAATTTGTTCAATTAATACAGGTAAAGGAATTTCTCTGGTTTTAATGAATTATTATAATTAGATTTAAAAGTATGTTTTTTATATATGTATGTTTAAAATTTAAAAGAACAAATTGCATTTTATTGAATGATATACAGGGTGGCACATCGAAAACGAGACAGACGCATTTACTGGCATCTCAGTTTTTTTAGAAAAACGCTCAGACCCGATTTTGTTTTCGAGGGGGACACAAGTGTGGCAAAAATCACGTTAGCACGTGCAGTCCCCTAAGCGGGGGAGACACCACCCCCAAAATCTTAAATGGAAAGGGGGGTCGAGTGATACCTTATTTTAAAAGTCCTTCAATTCCCATTATAATGATGTAAAATACATGAGCTTCAGTTCAGTAGTTTTGGAGATTTATTGATTTAAAGCTTAAAGTAGACTTTAATAGGTACATCAGATTAATTTGTACTACTTTCAGAAGAAATTTGACTAAAAGAATTTACTTAATAAGTAAATGCTTTTCTTCACTACGCCCATGGTTTGTTTATCATTTTGTTGTTAAAAATAGCTTTAGGAGCGTTTTTTGTGGCAAAAAAGTTATTTCTTGAAGAAAGATAAGGAAATATCTCGTACTTATTTTAAATAGGAATTTAGTACATAGTTTGCGATTAATTTGACCAAACTTTGTTGCTAAAATAACTTGTATTATATTGATATTGAAGATTGATAATAATTACGAATCAAAATCAATATACTGTGAGTAAGTGACATATAAAATGCAATACTCAGAATGATTTATTGGATTTTGATAAAAACTTGTAAAACATATTCGCTGTCATGGAAGTATGTATACGCTTATAAAATGTTGAAGGCATTCTGAGCCGTACTTTTTTTGTAAATGCTTTTTTCATCATATCATGATCCGAACAATGTGAACATGTTTCCTTAATATCCAGTGATTTTTCCGTGTTGGTTCCATTTGTTTCATTGTTGTTTCGTTGCATTATCATGCTTAGAGTTCGCGTACCGGCGAATTTCACTCAGGTTTCCGAGTTTGAGACTAGATCTGAAACTTGTGAAAGTATGCTTAAAATTACAGCACTCCTAGTCGGTGTTGCATTTTTCTATGTCGTTTTGTAACCCCAACAAAATTCGAGATTTTTTATTTTCATTGATTGTTAACTTATTATACACGATGTCCAAGATAAGGATCCAGTGTATACGCATCTCAATACCTGTAGGAGACGTATCTCAGCTGTAGCTTAGGTTCAATTAGGAAAAGCTGCGTTTTTTTTGGAACGTATTTACAGTAATGGACAAAAGTATATGGACAAATTAATATTGTACTGTATTTATTTTTTAACTTGTTTTATTAATACACCAACCTGTATACATACTATGAAGGACAAAAATATACAGACAAGGCAAAACAGTTATAGAACAAAGTTCATTGAATTATAGAAAACCGACCATCTTTGTGTTAATATTTTGTAGCATAACCATTAAATTTAGTTTTTCTACTAATGACGCATTTGTTTATGGAGCAATGAAGTATGACTTCGTTTTCTAAAGGTATTTAGGTAAATATTCATAATTGTCTATATACTTTTGTCCATTCCTGTACATTATCACGTGAGACTAATTCTCAGCAACGTGTGCTCACAGATAAAAAAATCCTTGCGGTGTTTTTCACCACCGTCTTCATGAGTACGTATAACGTTGATGTTTTTGAATGTTGAGGTTGCAACTTGTGCAACGAAGTGTTGCTATTCATAGAGGCCGATTTTGCAGACGCTGCTAGAGAGAAAACGCTTTCAGTCCATTCTGATTCTACTTCTTCCATGTTACCAAAGAGAAAAACTGAAGATGGAGCGGATGTCTTGACGAAGAAGATGAAGCATAAACTTTGGCAAGACGCAGAAATTGAAACTGAACCAGATGTTACAACGTCTCTGGCCTCAACTACGAAACCCTCGCTGCCCATTATAGAAGATATATCATCCGAAGAAGATAGTCGCAGCAATGCTGACACTGCTAAACGTCAAAAGCCAGATCCTCAATTTAGGTAAGTTTTTTTTGTTTGTTTGTTAAGATAAGTATATTTGGCAGGGTTACTACATTAACATTCTTTTAAAAAACTACAACGATTACATAACAGAGAGAGATATTTAGAAAAATAAAACTCGTATCTCTAAGAATTTTCACTGTCCATGAGATATTACTTTAACTATTTAGACATATTTGTAAATGAAGTAAAAGTTATATTCAAGCACTGCAATTCTTGGACATAGATGCTGTTTTGGTGTACTGATTTTTATTCAAGATGTGGAAGACTTTAAAAAGACTGACCAATTCGAAACCGCATGATTGTGTAAATCAAGTTCAATTCGAAAACGGTACCGAAACAAATTCTTTGGTGATTGCAAACAAACTAAATGAATATTTTGTGGAAAGTATTGTTGATATTGTGGGTACTGCCAATGCTGCACCTGACTATTTGAAAATCAGTTTCCAGGGGGAAATGTTGCATACACTTTCAAAATTTCACAGCGTATCGTTGAATTATCTAAGAAAAAAAGTAAACAGTTTAAAATCAAATTACAACTGTGCCGAAATCACTACTAAAAACGTGCTGAAAAACTGTTTCGAAATTTTGGGATATCCTGTATTAAATTGGATCAATTGTTCACTAAGATGCAGTTCTTTTCCTGAAAATTTGAAATGCTCTACAATAACACCAGTTCCCAAAAGAAAAAATTCTAAAAGATGCAGCGATATGAGACCAGTAAATGTGTTACCAGACATTGAAAAATTATTAGAGTCCATAATGCATGACCAATTAATGCAGTTTATAGAAGAAAACAAAATTAGAGTGGAGGCGCAAGCAGGCTTTCGAAAAAAATATTCCACAGAAACGGCTTTCCAGCTGGTAACTGAGAATTGGAGAAGAGCCATAGACTCAAAAGAAGTTATCATAGCAGTATTTTTGGATCTGAAGAGGGCATTTGAAACGATTGATAGAGATATTTTATTAGCTAAATTGAAGGCATATGGTATAACAGGAAGTGTTTTAGATTGGTTTAGAAATTATTTATCTAAAAGGATGCGGATGGGTGTTCCACAGGGCAGTATCCTGGGACCACTTCTTTTTATTTTATACATAAATGATTTACCTGCCATAGTCAAAAAATGCAAAATTCAGATTTTTGCCTATGACACTATGATTTATATAAGTACTAAAAATATTCAGACTGGTATCTCTTATATAAATGAAGACTTGAAACTTGTCTCAAAATGGTTAGCATCTAACAGACTAAAATTAAATACAAGTAAAACGAAAGCCTTGTTAATCGAAAAAAAAAATGTACAAATGTTCAACTGAATATTGATGGTGAAGATATTGAATTCGTAGAAATTTTAAATACCTGGGGGTTTTTGTTGACTCGCGATTAATTTTTGATATTCATTATGAGAAAGTTATAAATAAGATTACTAGTAAAGTGGAATATTTATCGAGAGTTTCTGGATGTCTGAGTTCATATAGCAGAAAAATTATCTATAATACCATCATTCTTCCAAATTTCTTGTACTGTTCGACTATTCTATATTTAGCAAATAATTCCATTTTTGAAAGACTGCAAATTTCACAAAAAAAGTGCATGAGAATACTACTAAATAAAGATAAATATGCTCCAATTAGGCAACTGCTCAGCAAATTAAAATGGCTCAATGTAAAAGATTTTATCAAATATCTTGTAATGATATTCATTTATAAAGCAAAAATTAATATATTTCCATCAAATCTAACTAATTTAACATCATCAAATGTCGACCATGATTTACATAATACCAGAAATAAAGATGACTTCCATTTAATGACTGAAAAGTATAACATATGCTACAAATCTGTATTCCATCAAGGGTTGATTGAATATAATAAATTATACTCGGAGATAAAAGACCAGAAAACTTTGACAAAATTTAAAGTAAAATTGAGAAATCACTTGTTAAATCTGCAATTATAGGTTGCCCAGCATTTACATCATACACCATATATGGCTTGAATTTACTAGTTCTAAGTTGTTTACAATTATTCTGTTTATGTAGCCAAATGTGCTAAATAAATCTTTCTACTACTACTACATTCTCATAGTTTAACTTTGCAGGACTTATAAGTTTGAGAATACAGCTTCATTGGCAATGAACAAGGTAGTTGAACAATATTAAATGCGGTAGTATAATTGTATTATAAGGTATTTTTTTGGAATATGTACTAAGACTATGAGAAGCCCTATAAAAGTAATTTGTTTTCTCTTTTTGACAATTTTTGAAATAATAAGCGTTAAATTTTAGTTTATTTGCATTTAACTAATTTATGATTTTTGCTGTCAGAATTTAGCATTCTTAAAGCAGCGTATACATATATATATATATATATATATATACTAAGTGACATATAAATCCGAACACCCAGTTTAAATGGTTTTATTTTAATAAAATTTTGTATAAGTACTTAATGAAGAATAATAAGTAAATGATAAAAATTTGAAAATGATTGCACTGCTTTAAAGCCCTTTGACCTTTAATAATGTGTGGATGCACCCTGATGTGCTACGCATTCTCCAACGCGCCTAGGCATGCTTCTGATCAGGTGGTCAATGTCCTCCTGTGGTATCTCATTCCAGGCAACCACCAACTCCTCTCGAAGTGCTTCTAGAGGAGGACGTTGCAAATTGAGCAATCTCCTACCCATCATATCCCACACGTGCTCAATTGGGGATAAGTCGGGAGATCTTGGTGGCCATGGTAACAATGTGACATCATTATGTTGAAAGAAGTCTATTGTGACTCTTGCAACATGTGGTCGGGCATTATCTTGTTGGAAAGTTGGATCTGCCAGGGTGTCAAGATAGGGTAAAAGATAGGGTTCTAGAACTTCGTGGATATAACGCTGCGCGTTCATGTTACCTCTGATGAAGATTAAAGGTGACCTGGAACCATAAGCTAGAGCACCCCAAAGCATAACTCCAACAGTGTGATGAACATGTCTTTCAACAAAAAACTGTGGATTCCTCCTTTCACCACGTCGCCTTCTAACCCTGGCAGGACCATCGTGCATGCCTAAACAAAATCGAGACTCGTCACTAAAGACAATACTGTTCCGTTCCTGATTCCAGAGTGACCGTTGTCTGCACCACTCAAGGCAATTACGTCGGTGTTCTCGAGTTAAAGGAAGGACCCAGTGTGGCCGGTATGAAAACAAGCCAAAACTTCTCATTCGTCGGTAAACACTTCGCATGCCAATAGGTCTTCCGTGTTCTGCAAACCATTCATTTGCAATGGACCTGGTAGTGGATAAATGGTCCCTTAAGGCAAATAATCTTAAGCGGCGATCTTCACGGTCTGTTGTTCTAGGGCGGCGTCCAGTGGCCCTTGCTCTTTGCGTACGGCCTTCTCGAAGCCATGCCTGACAGCACCTAACCACAGTGTCTACACTTCTTTGCACTCTAACTGCAATTGCCCGAAAAGAAAGTCCAGCTTCCCGAAGTCCCACTATACGGTTCCTATCAAACTCACTAAGTTGACGAAATCGTACAGGTCTCCGTACTCTAGGCATCGTAAAGGACGTCAAGAACCAAAATCCGCCAACGTTGATTCTTTACTGCGGCTGAAATATTCATTTTTAGAGCGTTAGAGAATTAAAAAAAGCAGTATAAAAACCGGAATGTCCAACTGATAAAGCTGAAAATTTTTTCACTTGTTATTTACAGTAAGATAAATACATTCACCAACTTTTATTAAAATAAAACCATTTAAACTGGGTGTTCGGATTTATATGTCACTTAGTATATATATATATATATATATATATATATATATATATATATATATATATGTATTTTCATATCATGTTTATTAACGTATCATCTGCAAATACATATTACAAACGTCATTAATGTATAAAATAAATAGTAGTGGACCAAGTTTGCTACCTTGTGGTACACCAACAGAATTGAGCTTGATAATCTAGATCCAATGTTGGCTTTTTGATCTCTGTCAATTAAGTAGCCTTGTAGAATTTTGAATACAGATCCTTTAAATCCATAGTGATGCAATTTTGTAATTAATTTATCGCTGTCAATAGTTTCAAACGCCCTACATGCAGTGATAGGTTTTTCCATATGCCATATTTATTCCTTAGCATGGATGGTCTGAAATGATTTTGAGTAGGGTAGAAATAGATTTGCTGGAAAAACAACATGGCAACTGTTTTATGGAAAAATGTCATATCAACATCTATTTGCTGTGGTAACTCGAAACCTATAAGTACTAGAGTAAATTTACACGGGACGGAAAATAATATCTGTAAAATTATCCACAATTTCGTGTATAATGGTGTTTAACACGATATGCCACTACTTTTGAAATTAGTGTAGTACTCACATCCACCATTTTTTAATTGCCGATTTCATTCACTTTTTTACAGTGATCGCATCCACCATTTTTTGATAGTAGATACCAGATAGCTACCTCGTTCACCATTTTTTTCGTGATCACATTCACCAATTTTTAATTGGCGATTTCAGATAGTGACCTCGTTCACCATGTTTTAGTGATCACATGCACCAGTTTTTATTTTCGATATCAGATAGCGACCTCATTCGCCGTTTTTCAGTGATAACATCCATCATTTTTTTTGATTGTCGATATAAGATAGCGACCTCATTCACCATTTTTTTTTGTCATCGCAAAAACCATTTTTTAATAGTCGATATCAGATACCCAGTAGTAGAGTGCTATTTTAGCCATAACTATTTTTGGGATGTTATAATTCAAGAGACAAAAGATATAGTATCTTTGATTGCTAAAATTTGTGGAACGTGACAATGAGATGTTATGTTTTTTAAGTCATATGACATCTACATCACGAAAAACTGTAACACTCATCAACTTGGAAATAACCGCTCGGATTTTTATGAAATTTCCGCACGGGGTTACTAGTATGCCAAAGCTTTGTAGTTTTAGTCCAGTGGCAACGGTGCTATAGGCAAAAAAGAAAAAGTAACAATTGCTGAAACTCCGTTTTTGATGTTACAGGGGGGACAGAAAAAAATTGTACTGCTTAAAAAGTGGGGGTTGGGGGAAGGTGATTCTGAATGTTGCATCTTTGATATCAGTGAAACACGTTCCATTATTAAGAAGCTTCTGATCCCAGTGATTACAGGAAATTTAAGTAACGAAAATCCGACGAATAATGTGCTCACGATTAGAAAAAATCGGTACCTGCTCTATAGGTTTGACACCAAGAGCCAACAGATCTATCTGCAACTGCCGACAGTAGGGAAGAATGAATTCGAATATTACTCCAGTCAAGTATAGGGGAATTTAGCGTGGAACTTTAAAATTATCGATATGTCAAGGAAATATGTTTTTGAGAACGATAATTTGGTAGATTTTAAACCTGCATTTTTATTTGAATTTCATGACCCGTGAAATGTACCCATTTCGCCGTTACGTTCAATTTGTGTTCTGCAGTTTGTGATGTTTTTCTGGATATAAGCAGAACATAATTGCCTTAGGTGCTATCAAAGCGTTTTACAAAATTTTGTCTTTGCGCAAGAATTATGGTGGGTTGAAATGCTTATTATTTGTGCTGAACTTCTTGATATTTCAAAAAGATCCTAGCGGATAAAATCGAAAAAGTGGATCGTTAGCACCCTGTGGACTTTGTTTTTAGCGTGGTGCAAGAGTTTCATTTGGAAATAATAAAAAATGAAACGTAAGCTGTGAAGTGCAAATCGGTTTTTCGGCGAAATTCGTCTACTGTTTCGTCCTGCCAGTCCAAGCGACGCGACCGTGAGTTCCGACTAAGGAAAGATGTATTCAAATAATTTGATATCGTTCCTAAAATAAATTCAAGAACTCAAATTACAATTCGTTTATTCATGTCAGTAAACACAATTATGTTTACAAGGGTCATGTGGCACATGGTAACAATTGAATGAGAGCCATAAAAATATCTTATTCCGTCAAAATAAGAGGAAACAGTTAGGTAGTTTTTGCAAAGCAATAAAGAGGTAGGCTTATACCTGGATTAAGTACATTTCTTGTCTACTGTAATAGGTAGATGGAGGCGATGCTGCCAGAAATGGATGTGCGGGATCAATAAACAAACCACAAGACTGAACTGCGGTGTCCAATGATTTTTGTATTTCCTTTTTTAGTGCGTTACTAGAAAACTCTGTTGGGTATATGATGGAGTTTACTATAACTTTACAGCGTGTTGTCTGCCTTCTTCTACAAACTTCACCAAATCGAGACGCTGTCAACCTTATCCTCCGATGAAGGCGCGACAAAGTACAGTCCTATGATTTGGTGACTTCGATCTGCAAAATCTCGTCGTCACTTTTTTTAAGTTTCCCTAAAAATTTTCGCTTAGCAACCTCCAAATCAATGTAGTTAATGTCAGGTTTTTGATTGAATTCGCCATAAAACTATTCATTTTCTTTGGAAATGCTAGCCGAATTGTTAGTTATTTTTATATCAGCTTTTTTTGGTCTGAGTTATTTTCAAGATTCTTGCGTTTGAGTATTTGTTCCATCCTAGCAATAAGCGAGGTTGGACTAAGCTTAGAACGCAAGTGTATTTAGACCACATATACTGGCCGCTGGGTATTGTGGCTCACTACAGCTGCAGCACATCTTCCATGGTATGACCTCTTCTTGCAATAATTTATTCGCTTACCCCAATGTATTTTGCGATTATAGAGTTGAACTGCTCCACACTATTGTTGACCTCATCATGAATTAAACTCACTGCATTCGTAATTAAAATGGTCGCATATGACCCTTTATTGTCCATTATCAGCCTTGATAAAATCAGGCACTCAAGAACAATCACACCAACAAAAATTCAACAACACAATATCGACGAACGGTAACATGGGGAGAAAAAAAAACGATTTACTTCTAGATCGCTAATCGAAATCCGACTCTGTTATTATAAAAATTTACCTTGGTATGCACCCGCAGTCTAGACGACCGTCTAGGCCCAACCCACCCTCGTTTCCTTTTCACCCCCCCCGTTACCTCAGCATATGGTGCTGGTAATTGTAGGAGCCCCGTTAAGGCAACGGACCGTCAGTCTTTGATCTCTTCGGTATCCATATTTGAATGAGACCATACAACAGTGAAATTTAATTTACTTTCAGGTTAAAAAAGCCCACTTCGATTAGTTTGTCCGTGCCAAATCCAGTACTCGATCATTCAACAAAACCAGTCAGCTATCCAAAGCCACAGCAACAGTTGCTGGTACCGAACTTGCCGCTTTCATCTCAAATGGTAAGGATTCGTTTGTCGTTTCTTTTTCACAATTTCTTAGAGATATAGCGTTTAATCACACAGGAAAGGTAGTCTGCAGTCGAAGATGAAGAAAGAGTGGCTGATACCGAGACCGCTATCACCACGTCTGGTAAGAAGTTTATATTTAAAAGTGATTAACATAGTTTAGTTCTGTCGATATACAGGGTGAGGCAGCAAACTTACTTCGTAGCGGAGCGCTAGTGGACTCGTTCGAGAGGCAAGACTATAAAGTTTTGTCACGACACAGTTAAGTCGCCATCATGCGAGGATAATCCCCTCTATTTCCGCCGTTCTTCTCACATCCTCAATGCGCATATGACCTGACACCTACGCCACCAAAAGACCATCTACAAAGCGTACAGGGTGTCCCATTTTTGATGATATTACGGGGTATCTCGCTTACGAGTAAAGATAGACAGCTGCGGTTTTAGCAATATGAGAATGGATGACGTCACCTTTTGATTTGATCTTCAAAACAAAGTATAACAAAACTTTAGATACGCGTCTGTATTAATATATAAAACAAATGAAAATATGGGTGATTCAAATTGAGTTTCCACATTACAAATAATTTTTTTTTAAAACGCCACTGAATTTGTTAACGACCTCGTGCCATTTCTAACGTCAAAATATGAACAAAACAGTCATGAAGCAATATGCGACCGAACAACGTGTTAAAATTATCCAAGCCTATAATGAAAACGGTCGATCAAGGAAGAATACATTTCGCGCTTTACGTGAATCTTTTGGCGCACAAAATCGGCCTTGTGAGAGGACAGTTTGGAATTTGGTGCAAAAATTCTAGCAAACTAGATCCGTCGCTAACACCAAAACCCCTAGACGCGCTCGTAGAGGTCGTTCGGAACACAATATTGCTATTGTTGTCGAAAGTGTGGCCGAAAATCCAAGAACCTCGATTCGTCATCGATCGCAGCAACTGGACCTTACGTAATCCACTACACAGCGGATTTTAACAAAAGAGAAATACAGAGTCCAAATAACAAAGGAATTGAAGCCTAGGTCACACATCAGGAGAAACGATACAATTACTGCGCGGCAAGTTTCCAGGTCGCGTTATTTCACGTAACGGCGATATCAATTGGCCGCCGCGATCCTGTGATTTAACTGCCTTAGATTATTTTCTTTGGGGGTATCTCAAGAGCAAAGTCTACAAAAATAATCCAAACTCAATTGCGGAGCTGAAACAGGAGATCAGACTCGAAATTACCAACATAAGGCCTGATTTGTGATACAGAGTAGTCGAAAATTTCTCGAAATGGATTACGTCATGCCACATGAGCCGCGGCGGTCATTTACTTGATATCATCTTTCAAGCATAATTGTACAAATACATACTTTTTTATAATCTTCAATTTCTTATTTTTTTAAATACTTTTACGACCAATTTCACCAACTACAGTCCGGTATTCTCCACCTATAGGGTAACACACCGTCAGATACAGCGAATGAGCTTCAAGTTCCAATCAACAAATTTTAGCAACCAATAGCTATGAAATGTTGAAAACAAAATACTGTCAAAGTATGAGATGACAACTTGTCATTGAAACATCGCCAGCTTATTGAATATTAAGAAATTACATATAATTCAGTCAAAATTTTAAGAAATGTTTGATTTTTGAATTAAATTCATGTTTTAATTACTAATGTTGATTTTTTATTCATGTTTATATTATTTTCTTCAATTGATATGTGATACTGGGTATTTTTTCCTGTAAACCTCTTGCACATGGCCATTAGGCACGATGACAGGCTCTACCAAAAGATATTGCTCGTTTCCAAACATTCATTCATTTACTTGCCGTTCATCAGAGCCATTATGGCACCTTAGATTGATATTCCCACAAAACCATTCGGGTTTTTTGATATCCATACATCCATAAAGTTGAATATTTTTCGTTGTTCAGGAACTGAACAAACATCCACACTATATTCACAGCGATTATAAAATTCCCAAATATATGCCTTAAAGCTACCAGCAAACCTAAAACCTGCAAAAAAAAGCTACAAATTTGCCATATTTTTCTTTTTTCACGAGTACGCATTCTAGGCTATATTTATATTAGAAATTATTTGACTACCGCTGATTATTGCATTTCAAGGAGTGACACATGTGTGGGATCTGTCAACTCTTGGTACCTGTCACAAAACATTTACTCTGAAGGTTTAATTACATGCTACTCAATGACAACACGGTGACTTGTGTGGTTGTCAGCGGCCATTTTGTGAGGGTGCGACAGGGTTGCCAGATTGTGCATTAATATCCCGTTTCACCCTCCTGGTCCCAGTGGAGTAAGTTCCGCCAACTGTTGAAATATACTCTACTATGCTTTATAAGACTATTGGTTACATTTTTCCCAAAATCATTGCACATCACTTGAAAAAATGCAAATGAAAATTTAAAATTATTTCCATGACGCCGCAAAATAGCTCCGTCGGTACCTTGGGTTATACATCTTGACAGTAGGGATGTTCGATAGGATCCTATATTTAGAAGTATCAATACATTTCACGAGTATCCTCATCTTTCGATCCGGACTGTGTCAGAAAGAGTGACTGACATTTGGCTGCGACATTACCCTGCCAAATCAGACATATATTTCATCATTTTCAAAGAAATTGTACAAAATCTTCAAATTTGTGAATTTGGCGAGTTTCACTTCATACGTTGTTACCAGACATGCCCAAATTATCAGTTGCTGGCGTGATATTCATCCCGACCACTGCATCCCCACGGCTAGGCGACCTGTATGTTAAATTTGTATTGATAGGGCAGCGGGTTATGCTATAAATCATATGTCACAGTGTTTGTGCACTGATTGCAACGGTTAGATGATACCAAAAACACTTTCATAAATATTAGATCTTTCCCATTCCGGATCGAACAATCTACCAAAGGTGCTTATAATCATGATACCTAGTAAATTTTCACGAAAAAAATTCAAAACCAGCAAATGTAAAAGATTCATTTCGCACCCACCACCACGGGACGTGATCGTCGTTAGACTTGGCAACCCTGCGAGTGACAGACAGATATCCCCGCCAGTCAACGACCGCCAGTCGAAAACACAAACAATAAACATTACTAGTTTTTTATGATTTTTGGACTTAAAAGACATTATTTGTGAAACATCTTTCATAATGTTTTGTCCATGTCCATAGTAATTGCATTATGCATCAGAGAGAAGTAGGGATTGACACGTCTTTCACATATTATCTGTGTTTTAGGATGGAGAGGACATAATGTTTTTATTGCTTTGAGGAAATTAATTAACCCATAAATTAATAAATGATTACTATTATGACGTAAAGGAAGATGAGGAATTGGATGGAATGTATTTTATATTCTATTTTCTTGCAAAATACAGACAAATCCAAACTATTCAACAAGTATGCAATGATAACTTTCAGTATATTGAAGTTGGTAAATTCGAGAGTGCCATGCATTAACAAACGTCCAAATCTACTGCCAAATTTAACAGCCAGAAAATCGACCTATTATTTGCCGCATTCCCATTCGCTGAGGGGGATAACGGATTGTTAAATGTAAACCTATAACATATATCAAAATACATGAAAGTTGTCCTGTTTTTCTGTACAAAAGCATCATGTTGGAATCAAAAAGTGGTCTTGTTTATAATACAATCGAATTTTCACGATTTTATTCAATATTTCAATAGAAATCACTAATATTCAGAGACCTTTGACAGCTTCTGTCAAATTGCATTTCGATAAGGTATTTTCCATGGTCCATAATATTAATGTTGGTGAAATGGGCCCTTAATGTGGAAACCCAATTTGAATCACCCTATACATTGGATTTTATTGGGTAAAACAAAGGAAGTTATGCTGCCACACCCTGTATAAAAGATTTCTTTAACCCTGTGTGTCCAATGACCTCTCTTCTCGCAAAATTTTCATTTCAATGCTTAAAATACTTATAAATGGCGAACGTATTAAGGTTCACTCATTTTGGTACTTGAACAAGGGAAAGGTACACAATACGTCCATATCTATTCCGCTTGACCACCAATTTCCTACAAGTGACACAGAAAAAGATGGCAAGATATAGAAACACGACGGTTTTTTCTCATTAACATCATCTTGTTATAGGCACTTGTTGCAAGGGCCACGCTATTTATTTTGAGATACACGAAAACTATTTCTCGAAAAATAGTTTATTATACTATATACTATATATGTTCAAAGTATTCTCCTCCAGCATCATTGCACTCCTGTAGCCGGACCTTCCACAAATAAGGTATCACTCGACCCCCCTTTCCATTTAAGATTTTGGGGGTGGTGTCACCCCCGCTTAGGAGGCTGCACGTGCTAACGTGATTTTTTGCCAAACTTGTGTCCCCCTCGAAAACAAAATCGACGGGTCTCACCGTTTTTCAAAAAAAAACTGAGCTGCCAGTAGATGCGTCTGTTTCGTTTCCGATGCGCCACAATGTATAATTTTGTAATATTCAACCAACCTAGTTTTTGAAAAGTTATCGAAACATGGTCGTACTTTTTCAAGTTTTCTACTAATCTACAACAAGAATTTTGTAGATACCGAATATAAAAATGAATGGTAAACAATATCACAATAAACTGCTGTCTTGATTGGAGTCTAAAGGACGTCGTCGGTTGGAATTTCTTCCTAACGTTTCGCTAGCACGAGTGGCAAGCTTCTTCAGAGGTGCTTCCATTTCCGATGCTGGATGTAGACTGACGATTTCTATTGCGCAGGTTGTATTTATACCGGAGGGTAGGTGGCGTGGCTTGTTCCCCTTCGGTTGACTTCGGGATGTCGATCGGCACTGCTCGGGTGTTTCTGAGGATCGGGTGCCAAATCGGGTAGAGTCTGAGGGTGTCTTCCTTCCTGTTGCAGTTATCTGGATGTTTGTGAATCTCGATAGCTTCCCTGACCAGTCTATTGTGATAGCTGTTGACTGATGACAGCAACCTGCAGC